ACTTAATCTGCAAGACACAGATGTTGGCACAGATGAAACAAAATCTGCTGTTATGTTGGCGCCATGTTGTGATGTTTTCTTATGTTTCCTCTTTTCGGGGTCAGGTGCAAATCAATAATACATTTTAGTTTGAAAGTCAGTGGGCTTTTGTTAAACTGAGATTTAAAATGAAAATAAATATGATGAAAGCTCTATATGTAGTAGATGTTTAATTTCGTCTGCTTTTACAAACCATTTACTCTTCATCACTGGTTTTTGGTTCCATGAAAGCGTTTTCCTTAGAAAGATGCGGGTGTAACACAGAAAGGAAAGGGACCAGTCTAGTGTTCCACAAGCTCCAGAGCCCACTCCAACCCTGTGAGTCAGTGATGATTCATACACATTTACAGATCAGGCCACAATTACAAGCAACAAAGCCGGTAATCAAGTCTTTCTGAGCGTAGCCTATGGGAGTAATCGCATGGGCACTTCTGAGCATAGGGAAAGGTCAAACTGACTTGAGCTTTTCATCAAGGACGTATGTATTTTCACAAAGCGCTACAATTTTTATTATATGTAGCTGCAGCTAATTGATTAAATACTTTACAAATAGAACACTATTTATTTTTGATTGACATACATTGATTAGGAAAAAGGAAAATTAAAACAAATTATGTAAAATCTTCTTTGGTCAAGGGCAAATGCTACCAGGTCCAAAAGAGGGGCGACCTATCAGGTATATGGTTTGGAACAGGAAGTCAAATAAACCTTGTTTTGGTCAATCAAGTCTTTTACAGAAGAGAAAACATGTCTCGCAATATGCCTTACAAACTTAGTTAACTTAAAGACATACATGGGATATATTATTATTTGGAACAAAGTATTCCTCCAATGTGCCAAAATACATAAAGTGCAGTTCTTGTCATCAACTTTAGGCCTGAAGTCTTTTCTAAGCAGCTCCACTTCCCGGCCCACCACATCCCGCAGTGCAGGGCTCTCCATTCTACTGTTTGGATTGCACTGGTCAGTTTTCTGCGATTGGTGGTTGGACTGAGGTCAGATCACGTTTCTCTGACAAAAGACAGACATTGACCGTGGCACAAACCAAGACCACCTTCATCTCCCCAGAGTCCTGTTCCAGTCTGCCGTCCACACCTCACTGAAAATTCAGTGTTCACACCAGAAAAAGAAACACGGCAGGAGGAAAAGCCATGTGGTTCCGACGTATAAAATCGACCTTAAATCAAAAGAAATGCCAAAACCATTTCAGTGAACACTAGACCTCTGCTACAGCAAATCTGATCTGCATGCACAGCCATTATGAAAAAATCCCTCTAGCTGAAATGTAAGTCTCAAACATATGCTGTTAACAGAATATTATTTTTTGCACATCTGCGAAAGCGCTCTGGCCAGTCATTACAGTCCCCAGGTCAAAAGCTGTGGTTCAAACTAATGAGCTTTACTGTGGTGCTGCCAGACAATCTGGATTTGTGCTCTGCTATTAATTTATAGAAAGAAAAAGGATGGCGAACATATGGTAGTCTGCTGTTGACCAACACTGGGAAGAGGCCTATATGTTTCACGCAGTTTATGTGAGCAACGGAGAGTATGCAGCACTCTGTCGCCAGCACCGCGAGACGTCTGCTCCAGTTTAAAGCCCCAGTCACAAACTATAGACCCCATAGAGAAGAGGCCCCTTTAGAGCCTGGATTTCACCATGTCCTTCATTATCTACACTATTGTTGGAGGTATTCACCAAAGTAATGTTCTCACTAAGCGTTAGATCTCTGAACATGCTCTGATCATGACGGGGAACAGCGCCATCACCACAGGAGGTTTCCTGATGATCAAAGAGAAATCTACTTGGCAAAGAATGGAATAGTTTTTCTATGAAAGGGTAAAACTTATGCACTTATTGCAGATATCATAAATACAACTTGTTGCTGATTAATGGGACTGAACTTCAAACACACGCTGGGTAAGCCTCCACAAACATGTGGAAGAGTAACTATATGGGCCTGAGAATAACAACACTTTATCCATTATTTGTTATATAGTTTAGGTAGGAAGTGTGTATTATGAGATGGTCAGGATGAGCAAAATATAATAAATATATAATAATAAATATATAATATCTAGTGGGAGAACAGGGAAATGACATTCTGCTTAGGTATTGTCAACATGTGGAAAAGAACGCTTAAAATCACTCTTTTCATTTACAGATTTTTGTATTTCCCTAGCTATGTGTGTTTTTGTGTTTCTGTAGTTTTTCATGTGTGTGTTTTTGGTATCTTTTAAAAATATATAAGAATATAAGCTTGTCAAGCACGCTGCCCCAAAAATATTATTTTGTGATACGATACTATTACTGTAAATATTGAAAATAAGAGGTTAAAATGGCAACCATAAAACCAATTTGTTATAAAACTAATGTCCTCAGGTAAATAATCACCTCATTAATTCTATTCTAATCATTGACCTAAAATACTAATACTCACCCTGTTTTGTATCAATACCAAAATAACTGAACCCCAGAAAAACACATTTTCTAGACAAAATAACCACAGATGGTGTCTTTACTCAAAGACAGCAAAAAACCCTATCACAATTTTTGGTTATCAGTCCCCAATAAATAGGACGTTTAGCGGGGTATCAATAGTTGGTAATGTATAATGGAAGGCAAGGGAAAACATCAGATTATGTTCAATATATTTCAAATCTAGACAATGCCAAGATAAATGGTAAAACTGTTTTGCGATCCATGAGAGCCAATCTAATCTGTAGACTTACACTTACGCCTAATTAAAACACGGTTACTTCAAAATGGTATGTTGCTCAAGGAAAAGAAATGTACAATTTGGTCCATTTGAAACGAAACCGTGTCTTGGTGTCCAGACACACACAGACACACAGACACACAGACACACACACACACACACACACACACACACACACACACACACACACACACACACACAGACAGACACACGTGCTAATCCCATTGCTATTTCAGGGCCAGCTCCTGGGGGACTTCCATCACATGCTACCTGTCAGCCCCCAACAAAATCACCTCTCGAGCGGCTAAACCAAACACACCAGGGGGCCCCATACATCCCAAGGCCCTGACTGCTCCATTCTATACTCACATACATGTTGTGGAATCCAAAACAATCATGTGTTATTCATACTTTTTTTTTCCATGGGTGATAAGAGTTTTCTAGGTGTCACTGCTGTTTTCCTGACAGTTCATTTCATTTGGACTCATTGGGCGTCACATCAGGGGCACAGACTTTATCAAACGTGAGAGACAGACAGAGGGTAAACAATCTGTAGTCACTTAGCTCATAATGAATTGGAATGTGAGGCTGCTGGGTCAAAGCTGATACAGTAGATTGTTTGGAGTGGAGCTTACTTAGTGAGTGCAAGAAACAGCTGGGTCTCAGAGTGGAGGCCAGCGAGATGGTCACTGCTCTGTTGGGAGAAGCACCAAAGTCCACATTATATTTAACAGACTTTTTAATGTTGTTATCTTTAGGGAGACATACACCTGCCCTGGGGCCTCATATGTATAATAGCCTTCTTTGCTAATTCTCGTGTATTTACAGAAATGTTCATTAAGGCACAATGTCCATGTCAAATAAATTAAAACCAATACCTGAAATAAAAAAAAATATATATATTCTCAATTAAAAAATCTCTATGATATTAATACATTACAATAATATATTATTTACTATATAAATATAATCTATAACTCTCAAGTGCTGAATAAAGGAAATCAAATGACACTGTAAATCATATGACATTATAAATATAAACATATGAAATTATGTCTAGAAAGAAAAAATTCGGCTTATCATAATTTATGGAAAATAGAACATAGAATCAAGTATTTTGTTAAATAATGTCAACATAGCACTCTTTCTCCCTGTCTAAATAGAGGCTCATATTTGCTTAATATTTTGTCCCTTTGCAGATTTCCTCTGGGTACAAAAGCACGCACTATTGAGGAAAACAACTAAAAAAATGCTTTAAATCTCTAAAAATCTACCAACTTTTATTTATAGATCCCTTTACACAGTGTAGAGGGCTCTATACTGAAAAAATAAAAGCATGAAATCCGTCCACTCAGTATATTTGTTTTAAATAGGTATGATAAAAATATATAGAAGTCACCGGATTGCTGTGTCATAAAATCCAGTCTGAATAAATATGTTTTCAGACGAGATTGAAAAATGAAGGCCGTCTGTTGATGTGGCCGTGAAGACCCGGTCAGCCAAGTGATTGAGTCTGGCCCCTGGGGACATCCTACATGATATTGAACATATTATTGGTGCTTGCTATCCTTCACAGACTTCTATTCAATGCATAATAATTTACTTAAATACAAAACATCAATCCTAGCCTGGCTCCAGCTGACCTTTGGCCCCGCCTACATACAATTTCAGTGGGCAGGTCGGTCCGGCCTCGCTCCATAGACAAACTATTATGCCCGGTATGAAACAGGATGTGTTTTTCTTCAATTAGTTAGAGACGATGCGAGAAAACAGATTGGTACACATTGGTCAAGGCTTTGTATAAATATTTTGAGTGGACAGTATTGGTCAGAACAGCTGAGCCCCTCTGTGCATGTGCATGAGAGCTACACACACATATTTGGCGAAATGCATCATGGGAGCTCTTACACTGCGCAGAACTGGGCGTAGCAGACGATACCCAAATATGGGCGTTTCCAGATTTTGCATTTGTTTATTTCTTTCAGCAGTTAAGGTACTGTGTGATGACTGAGGAAAAGTATCAGTGTCCCTAATTCAAATGAGCTAACACTTACTATCTAAATGAAATAAAAATCTAAAATAATATCCCTCCACACTGTCCCTTAAAACAGTTGTTGTATAGATTGAGTGGTCCAAATGGTCCGAATTGAAACATGTTTTGATTTTTCTGTCTCTCTCTTGCTGCTTCAATACAGATGGTGAGTGCCACATTAACCATTTTCTCTTCGCACATCACACTCAGGGTCATGGCTCCAGCTTCTCCAAACCAGCTGCACATGTGTCGGCGGTGGCACCTGAAGAACACCACAGATGGAACACTTTAGAGAGGAGCTGAGTGAGCCACAAACAAGTGTTGATTATATAAAAACGTGCGCAACCGTTGTGATTTGGTGAGTGACGGACGCATCAGGGCCCCTCATTCACCGCAACCTTCACATTCACTATTGTGAAAGCAATAGGCCCTTAGTCCAATGCAAATCACAACTGTTTGAGAGCTATGAAGGAATATGGATTTTAATACATAGTTTGAAAGTTAGCAAGTTCACATACCGTTCGAACATTGTTACAAATAAATATAACTTCCAGGATCCATGGAGTCTTCCCCTTAAGGAAAACCATTGAGAATTCACAGCTTCACAGTTCAAGGTCCAAAGTTTATGTATTTTTAAAACCACTGGGGTAACACACTGTCCGGCTTATCCAAAATGCCCGCTAAACAACAACTCGCCAGTTGGCACACAAAATGCTGAAACATGGCTGGCATCACTACACAATGGGAAAGTATTGCTGTATGTGACCGATGTGTATACCCGACTTACTTTTTTTTCCTTATAAATAATACACATTTTTTGTCCCAACCAAAAGAGCCTTGTAAAAATTCAATATTGTGAACAGAACACAACATGATTCTTCATCTTAATATAAAACAAATGTTGCATGTATGTAAAAAAAAAAGAGCCAAGGGAGCTGCCCCCCAATGCTCATAGCACCAGCAGTCAGGGACACAACAACAGCAAACATTAGTTGGAGCAGGTCTCGTGGGGGGATTGAACCCACAACCTTTGGGCCCAATGCTCTACCAACTTGAGCCACTGTCGCACCCTGATTTTAGTATAATGCAGATTATAAAACCTGCACATACTAAAAAGTAGTAAAGCTGTTGTTGTTAGTAAGGGGTTGCAACTTCACAAGAGTAATAAATAAAAAGTTTATGTTGCCATCCGAAAGTGCTGCTGAGCTGAGTAATGATGTCCGACTGTTTGGACAAAGGTCTTCTCAACGTGTGCCTGGTCCTATGGATTTCTGCTTTTTCTTTCTTGGAAACAGCAGCGGACCACATCCGGCTGTGATACAGATTTGTGGTTTTATTATATAGTTTACTTTTCTACAAATCTTGGTCTGAGTTCCACATCAAGACAGGCATTTTCGCCAGTTTGATTTATTTACAGATACCCACACAAAAGCCTAAAACACTTGGGTTTTTTTCTCAAAACACTTTCTGCACACCCACACATACACGTTTTTTGTTACCTGGTGGGTCCCTTTGACAGGGCCGTTCAGAATGGGACCCATAGACATAATCTTTTTTTACCAAGACTTTAAGTAATACAAAACAGTCAATAGAAACCAAACAACTATTTTAAAGGAATTTTATTTTAGATTTTGTTTTCGAATTGCAGTGATTCTATTTTTGACATAGAATTTAATGCCACTCCATGTCCGATGTCTAAGGTCATCTGGTGAGGCATTAATGCAGGCCAGGCAGTGAGACTTCCCAGGGACCTTTCCAGTCTGTATGAAAGGTGTCATGGTCTTCTCCACAGCCTTCACCTCAGATGCAGACCATGGCTTTCTTACACGTTCTAGGGAGAGAAATAAAAATATATTAGCAATATACACTCCCAGGGTGAGGACCAAGCAGCCTGGCTGTAATCCCCCACCTGGTACACTTACCAGAAGGGGCACTGCCACTACCATGGGGTGCATCTGGATGAATGGTTGAAGGTTCTCCGCTTGAAGTTTCTTTTAGCCCGTCCGTTTGTGAGAGGATCTCTACTGCTCTCCCTGTCGCACAGAAAATAAAAATACAAGTGGCCTTTAGGGAAAAAAATCATACATATTTTAATAATATCAAGAATTACCTTCAGGCTCAATTTGTATCTGGTCGAGGCTCTTTCCTTCGAATTCCGTCACTCTTCCCTGCTCCATGGCCATCAACACTTTGCTGATTTTGGCCAGCTCCAGTGTCCCCTCTGGTAGTCTGTAATATTGCCTGTGGATGCGAATGTCATGGCCGAGGAAGTTGGCAAGTATGTCCATCTCATTCTCTTTCATATTGAGAACTGTAGACATAGTAGCTATGTGCTTTCTAAGTTTGGTTGAGGATAGCATCTCTGGATGCACCGCACCACATTCTTTGGCTACCTGGCGTAGGGAGTCTGATCCCCTGATGTGGGTGTCTGCGCCCGGGCGGGAAAAGAAGTATGGGTTATGGTCAGAGATGGAACAGGCCCTTCTGTTCTCCACCAGCACCTCCATCGAAGCAATCATTTCAGGAGTCAAAAGAACCGGCACTTTCCGACTTCTTTTCCCTTTAATTTCAATGCGTTGAAAATGCTGACACAGCTTTTTCTCAAGTTGGGACAGTCCCAGAGCAATGTCAGAATGGATCCCAGTCTTACTTCTTAAGGTAAAGGCTGTCAGTGGCATCTTTGAAACCTCACCTTCCCTTCTTCGATTGAAAATGATGACCTCACAAAGAGTCAAAACTGCCAGTTTAGACCAATGCTTAGACGTTGGCTCACTTATTAGGGTTTGCACATATTCAGGTCGACATACCTCAATATGTGCATGCATGGCTCTAACGTCCTCAGTCAGAGGGAGCAGGTCCGGAGTGTTCCACTTGGCTTGCCGGAGGGTCTGTAGGGCAGCAGAAGAAACACAGACGTCCCACCTCTTCTCAAAAAGCAGCCGGCTTCGTTGGAGGTTTTTAATAAATAGTTCATCAACACAATGCTCCATTTTTGAGTCACATTCAAGAATATCTGCTAGCTTTCTGAGGCTATGGCCGAGTTTGAGGGCCAAGGATGGAGTCTTGTATTGATTTGTTTCCTCATCATATCCAGCCACAGACCTGACTGCATCAATCACATGGTTAAAGTTGGAAGGAATAAAGAAATCCTTAATTGTTTTCAGTTTCCCTGCGGTTTTTGCTTCGTTAATTAACCTACCGACTTCTCTCATTTTCTGCCTAATGTAATCATGCTTTGTCTTATCATGCCCGTGTTTTAAGTACAGGTGCTCTCCGAGTCTCAGAATCCCCTTTTCTGCTTTGACAACACCCGTGACCTCATCCTGATGCATTGCCGAAATTAAAGACCACAGCTTTTTGCTGATGCCCTCCGGTACAGGCTGGGCTAGGGAGCAGAGGGACTGGACCCTACTTCTACCTGGTTTAGCCTGGGCATCTTTCTGTGAAAGCCGGCACCTGGCCACATGCCTCCACAGCGACTTTCGCTTAAGCAATGCCCCACAGTCTATACAGTGCAAAAACTCACTGGATTTAACTGGGCAATTTGGCTGTTTAGCTGGGACTAAAGTTCCAATGCCGGCCTTTAAAACCTCAAAATTGTGCTCACGGTTTCCACTATTCCTGATCAAATCAAACTGAAGTTTACGTGCTTTAGATTTCACAGGTAGAGCCAATGCTCTGGCTACGTCACTTTCATTTCCATGTTTTCTAGTCAAATGACGGGACATTTTGTGGCAGGACATTGAACAGTAGAGGCAGAAGTGTCTCTTGCTGTATACTCGCCCCCCATTTTTCTTCTTTTGCAGCTGCATGATAACAATCTTATTTGCCTTTGGTTCGTCACTTTCCGAGTCTTGAAGAAAAGTGTTTTTGATTTTTCTTTTTCCATACTTTTTTACAGGTTTCTTCTTGACAGTTAAATCGTCAGAATCTGAGTCGACTTCATCAATTAGGGACTCTTGACTAAGCTGCACAAACAACAAATAATTTGTAATCATTCTATATAACAATTTGAAGTCATGACTTGTAGTCAGCACTTACCAGTGGTTTGTAAGCGTGCGCTTCAGTGTGCTCCTCCATGATTTCTTGCAGCCTAATGAACCACACACTTGCACCTTTTTCTAGCCTGACACCTGATTTCCTCTGTTGTGCTGCTCCATGATTGGCTCCAGCCTGCTGGACTGAAATTGCCCCAGTGTGCCCCTCCTTGATATCCCGCAACCCACCACCAGGGTTCCGACACATAACACACTTTTTTCAGGAAAGTAAACCTCCAGGGGTCCTTTCCATATTTTTACAGAGACTGCATAAGGACCGTTAGAAAAGCATTACCCATTGATTATTAAGCTTGGACCAGTGGGGTCCGGTGTTCGGGCCCCACCACGTAAAACCAGTCCCCATGACGTGAGTGGAATCTCAGGTTATGGAACCCACCAGGAGTTGAAAACAAGTGCACACACACACACACACACACACACACACACACAGACAGACACACGTGCTAATCCCATTGCTATTTCAGGGCCAGCTCCTGGGGGACTTCCATCACATGCTACCTGTCAGCCCCCAACAAAATCACCTCTCGAGCGGCTAAACCAAACACACCAGGGGGCCCCATACATCCCAAGGCCCTGACTGCTCCATTCTATACTCACATACATGTTGTGGAATCCAAAACAATCATGTGTTATTCATACTTTTTTTTTCCATGGGTGATAAGAGTTTTCTAGGTGTCACTGCTGTTTTCCTGACAGTTCATTTCATTTGGACTCATTGGGCGTCACATCAGGGGCACAGACTTTATCAAACGTGAGAGACAGACAGAGGGTAAACAATCTGTAGTCACTTAGCTCATAATGAATTGGAATGTGAGGCTGCTGGGTCAAAGCTGATACAGTAGATTGTTTGGAGTGGAGCTTACTTAGTGAGTGCAAGAAACAGCTGGGTCTCAGAGTGGAGGCCAGCGAGATGGTCACTGCTCTGTTGGGAGAAGCACCAAAGTCCACATTATATTTAACAGACTTTTTAATGTTGTTATCTTTAGGGAGACATACACCTGCCCTGGGGCCTCATATGTATAATAGCCTTCTTTGCTAATTCTCGTGTATTTACAGAAATGTTCATTAAGGCACAATGTCCATGTCAAATAAATTAAACCAATACCTGAAATAAAAAAAAATATATATATTCTCAATTAAAAAATCTCTATGATATTAATACATTACAATAATATATTATTTACTATATAAATATAATCTATAACTCTCAAGTGCTGAATAAAGGAAATCAAATGACACTGTAAATCATATGACATTATAAATATAAACATATGAAATTATGTCTAGAAAGAAAAAATTCGGCTTATCATAATTTATGGAAAATAGAACATAGAATCAAGTATTTTGTTAAATAATGTCAACATAGCACTCTTTCTCCCTGTCTAAATAGAGGCTCATATTTGCTTAATATTTTGTCCCTTTGCAGATTTCCTCTGGGTACAAAAGCACGCACTATTGAGGAAAACAACTAAAAAAATGCTTTAAATCTCTAAAAATCTACCAACTTTTATTTATAGATCCCTTTACACAGTGTAGAGGGCTCTATACTGAAAAAATAAAAGCATGAAATCCGTCCACTCAGTATATTTGTTTTAAATAGGTATGATAAAAATATATAGAAGTCACCGGATTGCTGTGTCATAAAATCCAGTCTGAATAAATATGTTTTCAGACGAGATTGAAAAATGAAGGCCGTCTGTTGATGTGGCCGTGAAGACCCGGTCAGCCAAGTGATTGAGTCTGGCCCCTGGGGACATCCTACATGATATTGAACATATTATTGGTGCTTGCTATCCTTCACAGACTTCTATTCAATGCATAATAATTTACTTAAATACAAAACATCAATCCTAGCCTGGCTCCAGCTGACCTTTGGCCCCGCCTACATACAATTTCAGTGGGCAGGTCGGTCCGGCCTCGCTCCATAGACAAACTATTATGCCCGGTATGAAACAGGATGTGTTTTTCTTCAATTAGTTAGAGACGATGCGAGAAAACAGATTGGTACACATTGGTCAAGGCTTTGTATAAATATTTTGAGTGGACAGTATTGGTCAGAACAGCTGAGCCCCTCTGTGCATGTGCATGAGAGCTACACACACATATTTGGCGAAATGCATCATGGGAGCTCTTACACTGCGCAGAACTGGGCGTAGCAGACGATACCCAAATATGGGCGTTTCCAGATTTTGCATTTGTTTATTTCTTTCAGCAGTTAAGGTACTGTGTGATGACTGAGGAAAAGTATCAGTGTCCCTAATTCAAATGAGCTAACACTTACTATCTAAATGAAATAAAAATCTAAAATAATATCCCTCCACACTGTCCCTTAAAACAGTTGTTGTATAGATTGAGTGGTCCAAATGGTCCGAATTGAAACATGTTTTGATTTTTCTGTCTCTCTCTTGCTGCTTCAATACAGATGGTGAGTGCCACATTAACCATTTTCTCTTCGCACATCACACTCAGGGTCATGGCTCCAGCTTCTCCAAACCAGCTGCACATGTGTCGGCGGTGGCACCTGAAGAACACCACAGATGGAACACTTTAGAGAGGAGCTGAGTGAGCCACAAACAAGTGTTGATTATATAAAAACGTGCGCAACCGTTGTGATTTGGTGAGTGACGGACGCATCAGGGCCCCTCATTCACCGCAACCTTCACATTCACTATTGTGAAAGCAATAGGCCCTTAGTCCAATGCAAATCACAACTGTTTGAGAGCTATGAAGGAATATGGATTTTAATACATAGTTTGAAAGTTAGCAAGTTCACATACCGTTCGAACATTGTTACAAATAAATATAACTTCCAGGATCCATGGAGTCTTCCCCTTAAGGAAAACCATTGAGAATTCACAGCTTCACAGTTCAAGGTCCAAAGTTTATGTATTTTTAAAACCACTGGGGTAACACACTGTCCGGCTTATCCAAAATGCCCGCTAAACAACAACTCGCCAGTTGGCACACAAAATGCTGAAACACAAATCTCCATCGGCCTCAGTCAATCCTGCAGCGCATGACTGAAATGCCCCTAATTGCCCGAGTTTGGCCGATGCAGTCCATGGCCCTGCATCACTACACAATGGGAAAGTATTGCTGTATGTGACCGATGTGTATACCCGACT